CAATTTCAACTCTCCCTCTACACTCAACCTAAAAGGCTTTAGCCCTGGTGATTTCATTGTTTTATTAAGGTTTCACCCGGACTTTTATTGAATGGCCATTTAACAAAGGTGTTGAGTATTTAATTAAGGTTGGTTGGACAGGAGGTTTGGGGCTTGCATGACTAAAGCGAGGGGTATGAGTGTCGAAGGTGGTTGGGGTTGACTCCGTATAGTGTGTGGGCTGTTGATTTGGTTCGTTGATGTGATGGCAGGTATGTGCTATGAATCAGATTCTGGATTTGGTTGCCTACGATCACACATATACTTATTATTGTGAGAGACCCCAGCGAAACCATGAGAAGTGATCATCACATATTTAACCCTTATATATATATATATGGGTATACTTGGGATGAATGTCTGCATGGGTTGAAGAGCCCCCACATTAGAGTCCGCTCAGAAGCTGAGACTGAGGGGCTTAGGGGAGGTCTCTCCTTTTATTCTTATCTCTTGTTTTTTGATGATTTTCTTAGTCGAACGTTTGGTCCAGGGCCGGGATTCGAGGTCCTTGTCCAGGACATCCCAAACCCTAGGCTCTGCAGGGGAGGGGTTTTCCCTCGCGAAGAGCCTATTTGATTTACCTACCGAGACACTCAGGTCGAGAACCTAAGGTGCAGCGGCAGCTGCGCGACTTTTCCTTCAGCCGTGCAATGTCGTGAAGGGTTAGGCCCTCACGACACTTCAAGTCTGACACTTGAGTGTCATAAGCGGTACTCGGATCCATGAGGGACCGCTTGATTATGGGGACTACATAGTACGCCATCGTTGCGACTGCTTGCGTATGCCTGCATTGCAAATCGATGTGAGTATGCCTTGCGTCCGCGCAGTTTTATACTAAGTTCAGCGCGCGACGCCTATCCGATTTTCGCATTGGGAAGTTATGGGTTGGCTACCGAGGGGCTAGGAGCGTTGTCGCGTTGTTGGTATTGTGTCATTTTGTATATATGTTGTTTTGTGTGTATGTGTGTTCGTAAAGTGGAGTGCGCGTGGTGTGTGGGATGCGTCCTGGTCGACCGACGATGAGTCGCGCTTGGGACCTCAGCCCCCCCAAGATGTCGGTTCGCGTGCGGGTCCGGTAGAGGCGTATTACCGCGCGTACCCCCTATGCTACAGCGAACGAGAAACGCCCTCGGCTGGTCCACCTCTGCGATTGCAACTGATTAGCTTTCGTACTGTGGACTGATAGCTCGGCGGTGATACACCCACCGAAGGGAGGTGACAGCTCCCGTAAGGTGTAGGTAAGTTGTGCCTCGTGTAGGCCCTATCCTGTCGTAGGGGCTCGTGAGAGGTATGGCTAGCGCACCTGGCCGGAGCGGCTTGTGGAAGCTCCATGTATATTGCGACGAAGGGTTCTAAAAACTAACTCCTGCGTGACACGGCCAGGAGGGTCCCGCGCTGCCCCCATGCGGTGCCGGACCGATGCGCCCGACAGGTGGCGCCGTTGCCGGGGACAACGGAAAGCCTACCGTTGTCCCTGGTGGAACGACATCCGGGTATGAGAAGTGAATAAGAAAAGGCATAAAGGAGTTATGAGAAGGTAATGAAGGAATATATGAATGACTAAGTGTAGGTGAGGAAATTTACGTACCCAAGTAGAGGAAGTATGAGGGACGATCGTGTTAACATTGGGTAAAGTAAGTACTAAGGGTTAGGTAGGACGGATGGAATAGAGCGGTCAAGGTATAGTGTTGAATAAAGGGGATGTGCTTGTTTTCTTTTGTTAGGGAACTTAAAAAGAAGAGGCTGTCAAGATGCCTGAGACTGGAGGCGCATCAGTTGTTCCCAAGAAGGGCCTGACACTCGATGACCTCATCGCGGCCATCGACCGACATGAAAGGAACCCGAGCAACATCCCAAAGGTCGATACTTTCCATTTCTGTGGGGAGAGAGTCTCAGAATGGCTAGAGCGGGTGGAACAAGCTTTGGTCGGGCAGCCGGATGTTGTAAAGTTTCAACGCATCCTTCAGTATGTCCTCCATAGCTACCATCAGGAGGG